TGTGTGTGTGTGTGTGTGTGTGTGTGTGTGTGTGTGTGTTGATTACTACTGGGATCCACTGATGTTAAAAGGCTTCTGTTTTTGCTTACCAGCATTCAAAATGTACTTGGAGTGCAGGTGCAGTTACAGATGAGCAAGTGTAGCAATCAACACTTACAATTTATCAAAAACAAGCCCTGAAGCTTGTCCCTATAGGGATACTAAAAAGGTAATTCATTTTCCCGATTACATAATTTGGATATGACTGTTGAATAAACCCTTCAGCTGTGTTTATTATCCTGGTTACTTAAAACCACTAAGCAGTGTTGGTGTATCATACGCCAGTTGTGTTGTAATTACATCATTTTTAACAAAAGCGGGTAAATGCATGAAAACAAAGCTCCTGATTTTCTGAACTGTTTCCATCAGGGAAATCCTGCAGGAAACTTTGGCTGCTGACGCGGAGTACCACAGGGAGAAGTGGACACGATTTGGAAACGAGGCCGAGAGGGTTGAGCTGGACGTGATCCGGAACCAACATGTGTTGCGCACTCGTGTTGACAGAATGTCACTTCGCAAACAGGTATTTGTCTCAGATATCAGACAGATATAGTGACTGAATTGAATGTTTTGTTAGAAACACTTTGTGATCAGCTTTAGTACAATCTCAGTGAAGTTGGGACGTTGTGTAAAACATAAGTAAAAGCAGGAGTATACAATGGCCATTGATGCTGATAACTGGCTTTGGCTTTGACTGGTAGAGTTTTGTCCTTGTAGGACTTTTACGTCTTACATCCTTCTCATAACTTAGTTATGAGGAATTGAGAGTTCTTTAACACAGATAATAATACCTTCTCTGTGTAATTATCAGAAATTGAACCAATGAGTAACGTAGTCAGTAAAGTTTTATCTAAAATAAATTATATTTATTTACAAAAACAATTACTTATATACAAGACTCATTGAGGGATGATCAGATGTTTACAAAAGTTGAAATCAATAACATTTAACTCGCGAACATGTTAAATCTCGTTATTTTGATAACTTTATCAGGAACAACGTTTGGTTTTTGATAAACCAATGTTGAGGCACTTATTCTTAAAGATTTTGACAGGATTTGGGAAAGAATTAAGAATTTAGGAAAGAAAAGTCAAAAAGAAAAAAATTGTATAGGTCTTCTGGACGGGTTTTTCTCTAATGAAACGTTTCGTCTCTCCTCCAAGAGACTTCTTCAGTCTGAGAGTTTCARGCAAAATTCAGGCTTTTAAGCCCTGCCTCCATGTGACTGATACTCACATCACATGGMTATTGTTGACACCTACTTAACACTTATTGTTAACAGGGGGTGGAGTGATACTGGCAATGGCAGCACTGTAGGAGGGTGACAACTGAAAATGGAGGCCTCCACCTCTGTTTAATGATGGACGGTCTTTCATGGACGGATGGACGGAAGTCTCGCTCGGCACAGCCYGGACGCAGACACTCTGCAACCAACCAAGTTCAGCTTTTACCTTTTCAGACTTCAAGTCAGGTTAAGCGTGGTGGAAGTTGACCCGGGTCAGGTTTGGGATCCGCTTAGAAATCTTCAGAACCGGCCAGGTTGCCAGACTTCAAGGAGTTGATTATCTCGGGTCTAGTGGTCTCTTGGCTTCGTGCGTGGAGAGTCACAACCGACAGGTTCCTCGGATCAAAAATAAAAGCGTCTCACAGAAGTTCTGAACGAAACTTCCGGGACTTTGCTGGTAATTTGGTCCACAACTGAAGGTGTCATGAACCAGGGATGAGATTGTTCCTTGGCAAAATGAGCTGAAATCTTATCACCTGAACGCTGGTTTTTCCTGAGGAGGAAAATCTCAGCTCTTCTCTCTTCAAAGAGAAGATGGAGACTGTCTTTGGGGAGGCCCGCCCATTGTTAGTACTTAAGGAGGGAGAGAGAAAGGAGGGTACTATCAGGCATGGCCTTGAAGCTGTTAGTAAAAGATGGAGGTGAAGTTTAATCTGGGAGAGTTCCACTGGTCTGGTGAATACTGCCTCAGTCAGCAAAAACAACACCTGTTTAAAACAGCTGAAGCCTTGGCAGGTTTTAAGAGTTGAAAATGAACCAAGCTCTAGTGAACTTTTCAAATCAACATAAACTTGATTTTGTTTAAACTTAAGCACAACAATCATACAGTTTTCATAGTAAAACATGGTAAACTAAATTATAATTATTGTTTAGTTTAATTGAAAATAAAACAGAAAACAAATCACCTTATATTCAAATAATGGTTGATTTAAAACACACACAAATAAAAAAAACATTGGAACAATATCTTTGTGTTTTTTTCTGTTTTGAGTTATAATGAAAGAAAACAGCTTGTCATTCATTTAAGTATGTAACTTTGATTTTTAAAATAATAACTTTTAGTTGAGATAAATTTTAGTTAAGAAAAATTATAAATCAAACATATAAAGAACACTATTATTTTGTTTAATATCTTGATGAAAGAAAATAAAATGAAATAAAATGTCTCTTTACTGTTTAAGAAAACATGTTATAACTATAATTCGAACAGAGTTCTGTTCTTTAAAGGAGGCCTTCGGAGGTCAATGTCAAAGACAGGTGGAAGGTTTATTCCACCCCAGGTGACCACTACACCCTTGTAGACATGGTRACAAACTGTGTTCACAGTCAATAGTTTTTTTGAAGTGAGCCCATGTGTTTTTAACGAATGCTGTGGGTTTTAATGCAGTTCCGCCGGGAGGTCACCAGTATTCAAGGTTGGATTTCGGCCTTGCCACTTACTTGCAGAGATTTGCCCAGATTCTATGAATCTTTTGGTTACATTATAGACTGCAGATGAGGAAATCTCTAAATTCCTTGCAATTGTAAGTTGAGAAACATTGTTCTTAAACTGTTGGACTATTTGCTCACAAAGTTTTCATTTCATTTCATTTATTTAACCAGATTTAAAACTGCAATGCGATCGAGAAATCATGTTCAAGGGGCACCAGGGCAGTTGTTCACAAAATGGCGAACCTCGCCCCATCCTTGCTTGTGAGCGACTGAGGCTTTCGGGGATGCTCCATTTATATCCAATCATGACACTCACCTGTTTCCAATTAATCTGTTCACCTGTGGAATGCTCCAAACAAGTCTTCTGAGCATTCCTCATCCCACTTTCCCAGTCTTTTGTAGCCTCTGTCCCAGCTTTTTTGGAATGTGTTAAAGGTATCAAATTCAAAACGATGGAAACAATAAATGTTATCCATTTGAACGTTAAATATCTTGTCTTTGTACTGTATTTAATTTCACATAAGTTAAAAAAGATTTGCAATTCATCTGTTTTATTTATGTTTTACACAACATCCAAACTTCGCTGGAATTGGGGATGTTGAATCTCCCAGATTGTTCTATAGTTTATTATTCTCTCTGTTTTAGTTGTTTATTGTTCTAATAACCGAAAAGCAGCTGATTCACTGCCATGTTTCACCTAACAAAAAAAAAAAAAAAAAAAAAACAGGATGTTATTGATTTGTGCTTCAGGCAGAAGAGAAGACATCCGCCCACATTCGGTTCTTGGAGAAACTGAGTCAGAGAGCACCAGACTTTGTGATCCCTCTGAGGGCTCACGCAGTCTGGGAGGGGATGACGGTGAAACTCTCCTGCACCACGCAGGGCTGCCCACCCCCCACACTAACATGGTATGAACATCTGGCCTTTCAGCAGTAAACTTGATCCTGCTCGATGATGCACGTTTAGTGGTTCTATATATCATAGATTATACAAATGTACAAAAAAAGTCAAATCCAAATTGTACATTTGGACAACTGTTATGGCTTTAAATGGAGCCAAAACAACATGCTAATTTCTAACCTAAAAAAAATCAATTTTTATTGTGGAATGGCAAAATAAAATTTAGCTTTTTTAAACYGAGTCTTTTAAAGACTGCTATACTTACCATTATTAATTTAAAGTGTATATTACAAAGAACACGAGTAAATAACAATGCAAACATAGACTAGACATGGGGTTTTACGATGTAAAAACAAGTGTGCATTGCCATGTAGCATGTCATTGCAGCATGCCTTTGCCTGCAGCATGGGACTTACAGAATGAACTGTGTCCAAGTTCAAATGTGTTTTCTATACCAGCTTGTGCTTGTCAAGTCAGCAGGTGTTTGTAATGAGGATAATTGTGTGACAAGATGAAGTGTGTAGAGATTTTTTGTTAAAGTTGCTGTAGCTGGGTTTTAACCCTGATCTCCCACATGAAAGCCCATGGCATTAACCATTATACCATTGGAGCTGTGGCAGAGGGGATTGCCAGGAGTTGGTTTGTATGTGTGCAGAAAGAGGCCACATTGCCAATGCAATCTTTGACACTAAACTGCAATATATTACAACAATAAGACAAAATTAAGACAGTATTACAGTAAAACATCAAAATACAATCATATTAATATTGTAATCACTGAACTACTGAGTTTAAATATTATTAAATTATGGTGCAGTACCATATTGTGTAGATGCAGCAGGGGGCAGTAATGAACCAATACAAGGCTCCATTGACTGCCATTGAAATGTATTAAACATTRATACTTCAAAAACTATAAGTTTTACAGGTACCAAAAGGCATAGCCATCATTTGGCACAGGACCTTTACAGATATGAATTACAATGGCAGCTCTAGGAGAAAGTGTGCAGGAGGAGAAGCATGCCAAAGTTGAGATGACTTGGATGGGAAACGAATCACAATAGTGTGAACAATGCACACTGATTAAAGCCCACCACTTGCTCCTATAAAAGTCACTAGAGCTTGTTTCTGATCTCTGCCTTCCACGAGCTGAATATTGTGGTATGAATTAACATGAATTACCTGTGTAAATTCAGGCAGAGTGCCAAACTGTTGACCCTGACACTTGAGCTGCTGTGAGAGTAGCTGATGAAAGGACAGAGTATGCTCAGTATTCATGTACACTGAGAGCCAGATAACCTGTGGCTCAAAAAAGTTTGACCAACCCATATGGGACCCATCAAGTCCAATGAGCTGCAAAAGGTCTKTGCTCAACAAGACTCAACACAAGACAGAATAAGAGATGAAAAAAAATCCTTCCTTGAAGATTCATCCAAACTTTTCCTTGACTTTCAAAGCAGGCTATGCGTGTTTAGAAATAAGAAGCAAGCAGCTTTCTTGTTCACTTGATTTCAAAGAAATACATGATGATTATTGTGGGGGGGAAAAAAACTCTTTACTTATTTATTCTCACAGGTATAAGGACGGTGAACCACTCATAATGTCTTCTCAGCCGTGGAATTACAGCCTTCAACAAAGTTTTGGTCTCAACTCTCTGGAGATCAGAAGGTAAGCCACCAGGTTAAAAGCCTTAATAATGACTGAAAATCCTTGAAAACTCTGAACAGAAAAACTTGACCTTCTCATCTTGAGTTACAGCCTTCAACAAAGTTATGGTCTTGACCCACAGGAGAGCAAAACTAAACTAATAAATCAGGTCAGATGTGAAATTAGACTGGGGATCTTTCTACAGAAAACTGAATGTAAATCAGAGTGAGATGAATCTGGTATAAAAAGCTTTGTATTACTATGTATAAAAGGTTTTGCAGTTTCACATAAAAAACATTTTTTTAATAAATTGCATTTTTTTATCCCCCATAAAGGTGCTCTCCTGCGGATGCTGGCGAGTATAAAGTTGTAGCCAAGAGTCCCCTGGGTGAAGCTACAACCTTTGGAACATTAGTGGTAAACTGTGAGTGGCTTCATCTTTTATACAAATTTCATTTTGCTTCAAAAGAAACAAAAAAACATTCTGAAAACATGGATCAATGCTAAAAGAGACACAGGAGACCAGTTCTTGAGACGCTGACACAATGCTGTTTCAATACCAAGAGAAAAAAAATAAGATCAAGGTGACCACAAGAGCATGGGCCATTCACTTGCTCTAATAGAAAAAGTTACAGTTGTCAAGATCAACAGCTCTGCTTGACACAGATGGTCCACTGAAATAAGTCTCATGTCTTCAGATGCTACCATAGATGACACTGCCTCCCAGTGGCTAAAAAGCACCCATTAAATATCTATTGACCACATATACAACTTTAAGGTGTCTTTTTGTGCCTGCTGTGCATTTACAATGAACAATGAAAGCAAAAGGAAGCTATGATTATACTTTTTGTTGTTAGTCAGATGGCACCTTATCAAGCTTTTAGTCATGAAGTATTTGCCACATTAGGATGCTTTAGAGTGTGGGTAAGTTGTGCACAAGTCTTTATTTTTGGAATTGCCATACATTTCAAAACAGCAGAATAGTGATTTACATAAAAGTGAAACAACAAAAACAGCAGTGTCCAAAAGACTTAACTCAGATTTGTAAATGTTTCAATCCAAAGAGTCGTTTTCCTTAATTTTCCTGCTAAATAAAATGTGTCAGGAGTTGTGAAATGTGTTTGGAGACTGAAATTTCCTCAGTCTTGTTAGAATAACTTGCTATATTTTGGGAGAATGTCACCTGTTGATGACATGCATTAAAAACAACACTGTTGTTGTTTTCCCTTTGAGGAAATATGTCTTTAAAACCATTCATTTTTCTGGAAGAATTCAGAGAAAGATTACAGCTGGATGTTGGATTAATGAAATGGCTGACAGGTTTAAAATATTAGAGAGAACCGATCAATTTGTTTTTCTCTTACTTCGACTGGATTCACATTTTGCAGAAAATTGGACAGGAGGACTGCTGAAACAACGCTTTACTGTTGTGATTATAAGTATGAAAATTAATTTCTGTTATTTTTAAACAATGCTGCAAAGAGCCAGAGTACAAAACGATGACAAAAGCTACTTATTTACACAAAGAGCAAAACAGTTTGAAAAACAGACCAGAAAATCAGCAAGTTTGACAGATTCCAACCCTGCTGAGAAACGTGAGCAAAGAGCTGCACGTGCAGGAGGAGGAGAAATTACCTGTAAATCAACTCACCTGAAGGCTTGAAGCTAAGGTGTCGTTGACTCCAGCAGGTAAAATCCATCCAGCAGCTGAAGGATCCTAAASATCCTGACACCATGGAGCGATGAATATAATCTGATAGGAACCTGAAATCACAGCAGGATTTTTGGAGCCAGGTCAGGTCAGGTGGACTCTGGCACGAACTCAGACCAACATGTTTAGCTTTAGCCGAGTTAGCTTCAGGGATCATCAAGTCTAAGTCTTCTCCTCACTTTTTCAATGTTCTGTTTTGTTTTGGGGTTTTTTGTAAAGGTGGAGAATCCTGCAAAGGTTTCTAAGGATCCTGAGAAACCTTTGCAGGATTCTCCACAGGTGAGACTGATAACTAAAAAAACATTTAAGGTTATGCTTAGATAATCAGCACATATTCATTGAAGTTTTAGGCTTATAAAAGTAACTTTTTTGTTTACGTTGTTTTTTTTTTAAACTCAGAATGTAAGCATGTTGTCTGCAACGAGACAGCTTTAAGAAGAGMATTTCAGTTTGTATTTTCGTTAGTTTTGGGGTGAAATTCTTCCACAAAACTAAATATTTGTCATTACCATAACTACTTCCTCTTTTTTTTTCAAGCATTTATACATGTAACATTAAAGGCCTGCATTCCTTATGTAAAAAGGGTCCCCAGAGGGGAAATAAACATTTCCACTTGTCTTTGACTCTGTTTTAAAAAGACCTTTCTCAAAAGAGACATTTTATTTTCTTTAATAAACAAAATAATAACAGTCTTTATGTTTTTTTATTTATACTTTCTTTTTAAACACAAGTTATTGTCATTTTATAAATCAAAGTTACATAATGAAAAGAGTGACAATTTTTTTACAAAATAATTAAGAAAAAGAAAACACACAAAAAGAAAATTGCTTCAATATTGCTTTATTTGTCTTATTTGTTTAATCAACTATTATTTTTTACAGTAAAAGTGATTAAGTGTTTTTATGATTTATTCTTCAGTTTAACTAAGTTGATCATTCTGATTATGACTTCACTGTGTTATACATACATACATACATACATACATACATACATACATACATACATACATACATACATACATGTATTTGTATTTGAATCATAGACGAATACTTTAAGGTTTATTTCAGTTTAAATAATTCTCTTAGGTTTCATTGAATTTTGATTCATTTTTCATTCAGTGAAACATGCCATGGCAGAGACTTTTAGACTAAACTTTTCATTCCTTCCTCCTGTCTAACACGAGTCGAGGTCATTGTCCCTAGTTTCTCCTCTTTAGAATGTAATGCAGACTGAGCCTCAACAGAACAGAAGAGAGTGAGGATTCACAATGCATCCTTTTTCCATCTCTGAGCTCAGTTTCAAACATCGAAAACTGTGATTTTTAATGACCTGTTAGCTCTTAGACCAGTGGTTCCCAAACTTTTTATCTTCTGACCCACAAAATATCCATGGCAAAAACTTGTGACCCCAAATATTACTGGTCTGAGTACACAAACTTTGTTAATAACCCTAAAAACAAAGGCTGCACAAATACTTATTTATACTTATTTTGTGTTTTTGTAATAATTATAGGGAAAATATTACATCACCAATTATTTTATTACTCTTTCAATTGATTTCTGAAGTGCAGTGGTTCCCAAACTTTTCAGCTTTTGACCCACAAAATAACAGTAGCAGAGACCTGTGCCCAAAACTATGTTTGGAGGATAAACATTTGTATCAGGTCAACTAAACATGGGCATAGTAACAATATTTGTTATTCTACATGTGTGCATTTTAGGCAACTAAGGCAAAAATGTAATTAATTTAGAAAATCTTTTCAGGACCCCACCTTGATGTTTCAGGACCCCACTTTGGGTCCCGACCCCAACTTTGGGAACCACTGTCAGAGTGTACAAATAACGGTCAGCTACTCTCATTCCAAATTTTAGCCAAATATGTGTAAAATTCACTGAGTTAAAGCACATTTTCGTGCAGGGACCAATCAGCTGTGGCGGCCATCTTGAATTGGGTTGACTCTGAAAAGATAATCAGTTGCAGATGTACAGGCCTGTTTTTCTGCAATTGCCAGGTTTGATTTGTCCACTGCCTTTTTTTCCTCCTCAGTCTCACATTACCATTCTCTGCTTCTGTCTCCATCTCTGACCCTTCCCTTCATTTTCCTGATCCGCCCTGCTCTGCTGCTCTGCGATTCAGCGTATCGAGGAGCCGTGGCTGGTTCAGAGCGCTCGCAGACCGTCGGTAAGTTTCAAATCAGGGCCTAATAAAAAAACGTGTCTTCTTTCATTTTCTCTGCTGCTCTTTGAAGTCCCCCACTTCCACCAGTGAAGGAGGGATGGCTTTGAAGACGGTGGCACAACACTCTGCTCCGCTGCGCAAGTCCTACCTTCTCAAGAAAGATACGGGTGGATTGAAAGGGAGCGGAGCAGTGGTGGTGTTTGTTTATCTCTGGAGTTTTTGTTGCTCTGTGGGTGTCTGTGTGGATGTAAGGGTGTTAATTGGATGTGCAGCGGTTGCTGTGGGGATAAAATGACTTGCTTCCATTTGAGCAGAAATGACAGTCATGTATATTTCATTTCAGGGACAGCAGGAGATTTATCATATTTTGCTCCGAGCTGTGGCTGTGTGACACTGTCGAGCCTACATCCTCAACCACGTGTGGGGATCAGCGCTTATTTTAGACAAAATTTGCATAGAGTAGGTATGATCTGTGCCAGGATATAAAGGAAGACTAGTCCTTTATTTATCTGATTTAAATATTTTCATGTCAAATGAATGATGACACACAAAAAAAAAAAACACATTATGGTACAAACGTTAGCACTGAGATCAGTGTTTACGGTTTGAGTCAGTACTTTGTGATTTTAGCACAAAATCAACTAAATGTCTTGAAATTAGCCTCTGTCTCTTGAAGAACCTCCTACCATTTCTGACACTCCCACTTCAGCACATTTTCAGATGATGCTTCAGGGAAGGGGTGCTCTGTAGTGCTGGAGCTTGGCTGCAGACTGAGCTCCAGGGAGTAGCTTTGTACAAATGGGCGGAGCTTTGTACAAATAGGCGGAGCTTTGTACAAATAGGCGGAGCTTTGTACCAGCAAACATTTAGGCCACTCTAAATGGCTGCCAGAGGAAATTCATGGATTCTCAAACATGCATAAATGAGTTAAAGCAAAACTCTGGGTATGTTTTGATGAGGGGATGACATAACAAGAAATAAAGCTAAAAAAAGATTTTGCATAATAATCCCCCATAACAGGAGAATAACATTTTTTTTCCATTAGTGCATTGCCTAAAAACCAGTACTTTGAATAATGTAGAAAAACACAACAGTCAATTGAMCATGTTTTTTTATTCAAAGGGGACATGTCATGCAAAATCCAAATTTTTAAGCTGTAAAATACATTTCGTTGTGTTCTTGGAGTCTCTTGGGAGGCAGAAAAGTTGAATTTAGTCTCTCCTGGTGCTGCAAAGATATTCTGTTAGGTTCATATTTTTCAGCCCATTTAGTTTTCTCTATTTTCTATGATGTTATCTGAACTATTATGGAATGTGTTTGCAATAGAACAGACAAATAAGGTCTGGACTTACCAACTACAATTTCCTCATCTCAACTCTTCTCTGGTTCTGGGTCAGACTCTGGTTCTGGGGTCAGACTCTGTCCCCAACATGTAAGGCTGGATGGACAAATCTTCTGTTCTTGACATCTTTAAATTAATTTGTAAATAAAAGGTTTCTGTAAGCTAGAAAACAAAACCCCTTCTSTCRAACTGGAGTGGACCGGTCTGGAAGCAGGATGGGGGCGGAGCTACTTTGAGACACACCTCAGAAAAGGGGTGGAAGAGGGTCTGGTGAAGTTACAATAAGGAGGAATTCAGACCAAAGCATTGTGGTTCCACTTTATTAAGACCCCAACTRAATAAGYTAAATGTGAAAAGGACGGATTTAAAAGCATCATATGTCTACTTTAAGTAAAGTCTTGCTTATTTCTGCAAAACAATACCATCTTTTAATCTTCTGTATGCCTGCAGCCCACACTGTCATCTCAAAAGAATTATTTATTGATGCTCCCTGAAAAGAAAAACAAAGAGAGCCAAAATCTTAGGCAAATTAAACCTTTAATCAAATAAAAACACGTTTTAGTTTGATGATTTAGCAGCTTGACTTTGTACTATTATGAAGTTCATAAAAGATGTGAAAGCACAATATTGCATTTTGTTTTGTTCAAGCTGACAAAAATTCATTCAAGTCATCAAAATATAGAGAAAAGGTAATATTGTATTTTGTTTACTTTAAAAGCTTGTCAGTTATGGTGCTCCTCATTATTTTTCTGTATGAAAATAACTTTGCTGCTCTTATTTTCTTACAGTGATTCATTATTTAGGTTTAGGTTGGGTGTGCAGTTCTGCTAAAACTTTCAATAAATCCTAATTTAGTCCAGTTTTGACAGAAGTTCTGTCATTTTTTACTTCTTGACTCTGGTCATGAATTATGTGGGCTGTAAATTGTTTTCCTTCAAATTAAAATCATCCATCCATCCATCCATTTTCTGTACACGCTTCTTCCTTTTCAGGGTTGCGTGGGTCACTGGTGCATGAAAAACACATCCTACAGTAGAGACAAGCCGGCTAAAATAAAGTTCAATTATATACAAGTAATTGGCAGAAAACACAGATCACGTCATTTATTGGTAAATGCATCATTATTTCTTCAGAAGTACTATCGAGACGCAGTAAAATACTTTCCCCAAACTAAGAAATGAAGTGGCAATCATTCTGAATGAAGCTTTATCAGCTTGTAACGGCATCRGGGGACGCTTGCTGCGAAAATGTGCTGAAGAATTTCATGCAGTCATTTATATGTAACTGATGCTTGATTATCTCATAAGAGGAAGACAATTTTTTTTCCAAAACAAATCAGTCACTAAACAAAAGCACAACTGTGGCAAATTTATCTTCATCATCCTTGCTCTGAGGGAAGCACAGGGTTTGAATGCTGCCAGGCAAAGAGCCAAGAAGTGAGTTTAAAAAAAGAAAAGCTACACACTGATGTGTTAACCTGGACCGCTAAGCAGAACAAGATCATTATAGGAAACATGTCGCTGTCTCTTTCCGACAGATTCACTTCTGACAGCGAGATTTGACGAGAGCCCGTGGCTCACACAACCCTCACTTCCAGATTTTATCGCATCGGTGCTTTGACAAGTCAGAGAATAAATAACAGCTGAAGGAATGACTTATCAGGAACTGTCCACTTTCAAAAACGTGTCAGATCTTTAGATTTTCTTCTGTCCTCTGCTGTTTCCTCACAGGATGCTCCTTGTGGTTGTCATTTGTGTCAGAGTTCCCGAGAACGAAGGGAGTCTTTTTCTGTCACAGCTGTGTCACTCAGCTTAAGGTGGCTTTTTAGTTTAAGGCCTTCTAGTTTTATTTTACAGTTTTCAGCCTCTGAAAGTGTTAGCAGTGGATTGTTTAAAAAAATCACTAAATGCTGATTCAACATTCACACAATAATGTTTGCTCTGCATTCTTTGTACCATTTTCAGAGGTTTATATCAACTAAGTGCATTGACTTCATTACAGTACTTAAGTAGTTTTTTTGAGGATTTGTAATTTTACCAATTATTTTTTAAACAACTAAGCTAAAGTTATACTTTTACTTCTTTACTTTGAAATTTAAAACCTAGTTACTCGTTACAAAAATGAATATGTTTGAACTCATCATGAATGAAGAGGTTTCTGCACTCTAAAAAATGAAGTGTTGAATTTACTCAACAAAGTCATGTCAACTGGCCCCACTAAGCCTAGTCGAGTAAATTGAGCAAAAAATATGCATATAGAATATACATTCTAGTGCATCCACTTGTCCCACAGCGCTCTCTTAGATCATCTGGTCAGCTGCTTCTGAAGGTCCCTAACTCGTCTCAAACTGAGAGGTGACAGATCCTTTTCTGTAGCAGGTCCAAAACTGTGGAATCATCCACTACGTGTCAGACGCTCCTCTTCCCTYGCTGTCTTCAAGTCTCACTTAAAAACACACTACTACTGCCTTGCCTTTGAGTCTGAGTGAGATGGTGCAAAACCTCACCRAGTATCATAACTGTGTTCTATGTGTACTGTAAATATATTTTTATCAGTATTTTGACTGTACTTTGACTGAGTCCTGTTGTGTTGAATGTACAGCACTTTGGTTGGCCTTGTGCTGTTTAAAGTTATTTATGAATAAAAGTGGTATGGTATGGTATGGTATGGTATGGTATGGTATGGTATGGTATGGTATGGTATGGTACATATTGCTCAATTTACTCAACCTGGCTTAGTGGAACCAGTTTGGTTCAGTAATTTCAATGGTTTATTTCGTAGAGAGTATGTAAAAGTACTTTTACTTTACCAATTTTTGTAAACAGTTTCTTGACTTTTACTTGAGTAGTTTCCTCATCAGTGCAATTTATTTTTGCCAAAGTCATTTTCTGTTCATGTAATTTTACTTTTACTTAGTTTTTTTCAAGTAAACATAATGCAGTAAAGGAAATTGGTGTTATGAATGTTTCGGTTTGAACATCATACTGACCAAAAAGCTTACAAAAATGTCTGTTACTAAAACACAAAATCTTTTAAAATCCTCCTTCCTTTGCATATCTTTATTTTTATTTTGTAACATTTTTAGTTGTTTGTTTTTTGTTTTGTTTTTGTAGTTTTTGTTTTGGGGCTTTTTGCTCATCTTAGCTTTTAGCTAGCATTTTGCAATTTTTTAAAAAAAATATTTTTCTGTAGCTCCTTCTAGTTTTTAGCTAACATTTATTTTTACTTCATTTAACATTTTGCAACTTTTGGCTTGTGCATTATTGTCTATTTATTCATTTTTTGTCAATTTTTTTTGCTATGTTTTGTTTGAGCTAACATTCACTTTTATTTAGCAGTTTGCTACTTGTAGTGTTTAGAAAATGTTTTGCTACTTTCAGCTTTCAGTTCAGTTTTAGCTTCATCAGTTACTCAGTAGTTAACAGCCAAGCTGTGTTTTCACAGAAAGTATAATTCGTTTGGTTGCCTTAAATTTCTCCTCACAGCTTCTTTTTTTTCCAGTTTCATCTGTTGACATGACAACAACACACCACATAACCTGATTCTCTCCCTGCTCCTTTCAGCCTCGCAGCTGCACCAAGAAGCCAAGTTTGGCACCTTCTTCCCCCCAACCTGGGTGAAGGAGGGTAACAGCTTCACCCTGCTGTGCACCTTCACATCAGCTCTGCTCCCCTTCCAGCAGGATGTCAGCTGGTTCAGAGACGGTAATTGCTGTGCTGAAAAACACTGATTTGGTCTGCTGACAAAGATGCTGTCTGTAGTACTGTTACATTTGCTGCTGTACTGTCCAGGTGCACAGCTGCATCAGTCCAGCAATGTGGACATTGAAACATTTGACAACAAGTCCACCATCACTTTAAGGGCGGCACACAAGGAGCATGAAGGTGTGTACAGCGTCAGACTGAGGACCAGGGATGGGATCAAAGAGAACGCAGCTTTTGTTTACATATATGGTGAGAATAAAAATGATCTGTTTTTGTTAGTGTCATTAAAATCCATAGATCTGATTAATCTGCTCTCTGATGAACAGAAATAAAAAGGTGGTTTTCCGCAAACATTATTGCCAGTTGAAAGGTGAAATGTGGATGCCATTAACACTAAGTGTGTTTCCACCAAGGCTTTTTGATGCACATTTAGAAGTGTCACATTAAAAATGTGAAAAAAAAAAAAGTCGGATGGAAACTGCAAAATTCAGAAAAAAAAAAAATCCTCAAGTCGCTAAAAGGTTTTTACGCTCGCTTGAGGTGGTTTTTGGGTTTTTCGAAAAACAATGCGCAAAATGAGAGATGGAAACACTTTTGCTAAATAAGTTGTGACGTAGCGAACATTTACCTCACGTAGCGGATCAGCTGTTCCACGGTACCGGTACTAGTTTCGGGTCGGCTGCAGCCGCGACTGGCAGCATAAAKGGCTCGACACACGGGCAGCGACAAACTACAGCGATTAACGGCTGTCATCGCAGCCAGGGTGAAAACCCGACACACGGGATGCGATAGCGATGGCAGCGTTGCGAATTGCGCTCTCAGATCGCTTGTCTTCATAAAATTTGATTGGTTCTTGACTCTGAAGGGGGGTGTGCATTACGGACATGTAAACTAAACAAATCTTGTGATGTTAATGATACTGAAAAACAAACACACATCAAGATACAATTTTATGAGGAAAAAACCATAAACTTCACCCTGGTGCCAATAAATTCCCACAAAGCTTTTTAGTAATCACTTGGTGAAAGTGTTAGCTAACTGCAGTGTGTAGCATACKCTCCTCTCATTGGTCAGTCAATGAAACCCTCGCTGATTGGTTGTACGCTAAGCAACAGCGACAAAAGTTGAACATTTTTCAACTTTCATATGTCGCGTCGTAAGCTCGCGTGTGCACATCTACGTGTACGAGTGCGAAATTTCACATGCACTATTTTCGCCGGTCGCTTAGCTGGAGGAGGGCACGCGATTGTCGCCTCACCGCACAGGTTCCATAGGAAATGAATGGAGAGCAAGCGACGTCGCCTCCCGTGTGTCGAGCCCTTTACCCTCCTCCCGCTGTCGACGTCTTCTCAGTAATCCTGTAACGTGAAGAAAATTGCATTTCTTTCTCTACGTCTCCATACAGCAGTAACATCACCAAAACTAGTTGATGACAGAATAATTACAACTTTCCCGATAGTAGCAACGCGTTCCTGATAACTTCTCTCCATTATCCTGAGATGTGTGGACCCTGCGAGTTTAGCGACGGTTACTTCCTGTTTACTACGCACATGTGTATGACGTAATTGATTTGCTTCAAGCCAGTAGATGGAAACTCCGTTTGATTCGCATTTCTTAATTTTTTTCCTTTTTGCAAAATTATTAAAATTAGCTCAAAATTCGAATTAAAATTGGATGTAATTGGATGGAAACACGATCACAGACACTGGCTTTGTTTCCATTGACCATGACAATGCGCGAATTAGAATTTCGAAAATAAATTTGCTCAATAGAAACACGTCAATTTCTGAAAAAAAATACGATTTTCGACAAAATGTTTTTGTGCTAGGAAGAGGTGGTATTTCAGCCATATCGAAATTGATGTATTTCGCAAAACTGCAATGGAAACACTTTTTTCTCTTCACGGGAGTCACGTGATCAAGAACCTGCTGTTTCCACTGGCGAAAAGATGACGAAGAAGAAGATAACAGGAAGTAAAAGTAGTAGTGAAATCCCCAAAGTCGTAAAAGAAAGTATTAAACTCACCGACTACATTTTCCCAACAATGCAGCATACGTAGCCGCTCCCAAGTATAAGGAGCTTGTCACTGGAAAGCCTCGATAAGACGCTGACGTCTCCTCTGATGGCTGATGATGAGCGCTAGTGTCGTGGTAGCAATATGCTATGTGTTTACATCCATTGCCTCCATGTTTGTAATGACTTATCATGAGAACAAGCTTATTCACGCGTGACTTAGTGTTTCTTACTTAATAGAAACAGTGCAATTGCGAAAATGTGTTTTTTCGACATTAACAGACTTTGCACACATTTGCAATGGAAACACAGCTAATGACAGGAAAACTGTAACATGTCAGTCATCAGCATTAAATAAACCGTTGAGGGACATGTAAATATGTACTATCAGACCAGAAACCAACACACTGACACAACTCATGTTTGTCTCCACGTATTCAAAAACTGATCCGCTTCACCTGTCTCTGTCTGAATGTCCCTGCAGCATCACAAAGACTCAGTGATTAGCTGTTTCACAAACCAGGAAACATCACGTTACACAAAATGCACAGTGTAAATTCCACAAACTGCTGGTTTGGCAGGATGAAATGAAACCTTTGCTTGTCAAGGCCCTCTTGTCCATGGAAGAACACCAGACGGTCAACAAACAGTGTGCTTTCTTCAATATGTTGAATTTGTTGTCCACAGAGCTGATGAATGCTTTGGAGTTCCCCTGAAAGCTTTCAGGGTAGACTTATTCATTGTTTTTTTTTTTCTCACGCTGGATAAATAGTGTGTAGAGCAGAATTTCTCCCCTTTCRAATGCTATTTGTTTTCGCAAGATTCTGGATCCTTGCTTTTTCTCTCTGCAGAACTCCAGTGATTCATATGCTGAAATTGCACAATCCGTCAACCTGTTGTGCAGCTGGTGGTGGCGGGGGATCGTTAACTTGATTCTGTCGTAGCGTTTATTCTTCATGGACTGCTGTTTCCTCTCAAACACTGTTTGCAGAATGTGTATGAACCAGAGAGGAGCTCACGTTTGACTTGAGAAACGTCTGAGCAGCTCAGCCAGGAGTCTTGGCAAACACGCAGCATGTTTCTCAGCGTAATGTGCTCTGAATCATGCATGAGCTTTGTGCACACACTAAACAAGTCCAAAAACCCACGTGTGCRCCACGCAAATCAGGCTCTCCAGCTCACATTAAGGAGCTGGGTCTTCATCAGAGCTGCAGGCACTAATTAGTTAATCTGAGAACTCTCCCTGCATGTGTGCATTCTCCCTTTTTGTCAACTTATWGTTGGATTTGAAACACGCATAATGAGAGAGGAATATGGGAAAGGAAGAGATGTTGATTCCAATATATATAAAAACATTTAGATCCTTGGAAGCAGTTTAAAAATATCTCATTCTTTCTTTTTAATCCTTTTGGCTCGTTTTGTTTTTGATGCTTCTCACAGCGTTGCCAAATCCTCTGCTTGTGTCCATGTAGCACTTGTTGAATTATGCAGGTGGGGATCTGGAACTCGCTATAACTGGACAACAAAGGTTATGAAATCCCTCCATGATTAAATGTTTTTTTTTTCTGTCTCTCCTTGTGTTTCTCTCCTCAGCCTCCTCGTCCTTCGCTCCAGCCTCATGTGTTGTTTATCCATGAGGGTTTCGGAGCTGAAGTCCCTCTCTCATCCSTCTGTTGCCTTTCTGTCTCGCTGAGTTTATTCTGTCTGTTCTCAGACAAATCGGCTGCAGTGAAGGGTGGTCCCGCGTCTCCCCTGGCAGTGGAGGTGTCTGATGTCAACAAGGACTACGTCTTCCTCACCTGGCAGCCGCCCAGTGCAGACGRAGCTTCACCCGTGGAGGGTTATTATGTAGAAAGGTGAAAATCAGCCTGATTTACTTAGATTTGATAATGTGTTTACACTGTTTTTTTGTTTTAATTTCTTTCAGATCATTAGTTTTTTGTTGTTGTTAAAGTCTAATCTGCATCCTTTGTTCTATTTTTGGTCCTGTCTCGTGTAGCGTAAAACACACTAAAACGTTTCAGTCAACTTATGAGAATTTTGTTTAACACTGAAGACGAAATAAAAAAATGTTCTGGAAGCCTGTTTTGAACATATGGGGCACCAATGTRGAGKAAAATGTCAAAAAATGTCACTAACACATTCTGAGTGTAAAATCCTAAAGTTTTCCAYAAACATTTTTTGTTATCTAGCYCACTGTTCTTACATTTTGCTCATTTTTACAAAACATTTATTAAATGTTAGCATTGTTAGACGTAATCATCCTGTGACAAAAGCAACCGCTAACGCTGCTAATTCTGCTGTAGATGGCATTTACATACTGAGTACAGTTGAGACAGTTTTCGCTTTTCCCATTTCCACACAAAGGTTTGACACTAAAAACACACTGAAAATAATATATTTTTACGTAACATATTTTTTTTATGTTAACTAAAATATAACCAAGAAATAATAACCCTAAGTTGTTTATATTTTTCACAATTAATCAATAACAAAAAGTTATTTTTTGTCTCAACTGTACTCATAAAAAACTTAAAGGTACAGTTGAGACACCATTCAAAATGCTGGAAAGCTAACGAGTCAATCATTTCCAATGTAATAAACTGTACATACAAAATAATTATCAGTGTTATACACTTCAANTATCAGTGTTATACACTGCAATACTATGTTTATTTTACTTAAATTGACTCTAGCATAGGTTAAAATGTAAAAAAAACAGCAAAACAAATTAAATGCTGAAAAGATAACAAGTCAGTCATTGCCAATGTAATAAACTGTATATAAAAATAATTATGTGTTATACACTTCAATAATGCATTTATTTTATTTAAATTGACTCTAGCATAGGTTAAAATGTAAAAAAAACAGCAAAACTAATTAAATATTTAAAAGATACATAATAATTTGTTGATTATTAATGTACTTTTACAGTATATTGATATTACTAAATGTTCTATAGTTCATTTGAATAGTTTGCATTCAAATAGTAGCTTATTTAAGGTTTATTAAATTCAAATGAATGATTGAACATACTCAAACTGTTGCTGCTAAACACAGTGCAAATCACTGTTGGGTACACAACAGTGGGGTCTCAACTGTACCCCGGTGACCACGTTTCACATTTTACTGGATTATGTAATGACAGTTAATACCATGCTGTTATGAAATATGTTATCTTTTAGGGAACAAAATAATGTTTGCATGTATTCAAGTTACATTTAGATGTCATTTAAGGGTGATCAGATATTCACTGTAGAAGGGACATGGTAAAGTCAAAATCTAGCCTGCCAAAAAATACTTTTGTGGATATCTTTGGAGTGGTGCTTTTCATGGTGTTCAAATTTTTCACTATCAAAAAGGACACTGATACACATGTGCACAGCAAAAATCACAACTAAGACTTGCTGCAAACAGAAGATATTGATGGTGTCTCAACTGTACCCATGTCTCAAAGATGCTCAGTCCACCCTGAAATTTAAATTTAAAAAATGGGTTATTTGAAAACTGGATGGCACCTCTGGTTCAGCACTTTGAAGCTCGGACGCACAACTACAAGCTTGATGTCTTCTACGGAAGCATTAGCGATGTTAGCAACATTAGCGATGTTAGCGGTGGTTGCTTTTGTCTCAGAATGATGAAGTAGTAACAAGAGCCGAGCACCGACAGCAAAGGCTGCGTACCGTTCCAAAAATACTTAAAGGTAAACTTCAACATTTAGCCACAACAATTAAGATTGAACTTTTATATTTAAATGTACACACTTAGATCTAGGAATACTTTTCTACATATAATATTTGACATTTAAATGTAACATTTTAGTAATAATTAGCAAAATGTAAGAACAGTGAGCTAAATAATGAAATATTGTTGAAACACTGATTTTACACTCAGAAAGTGACCTAAATAATAAAAATGTTACTAACATTTTTTAACGTTATTTTAGCTACACCTGGTGCCACATAAACATACATACTGCAGTGCTAGCAAGTCGAATAAATATATAACCTATATGAGTAATTTTATTTATAACAAAACAATCCCTAAGGTGTTAAAGTGTATAGTGTGACAGGGTCTTAAAGGGGAGTCTCGACCTGAGTTTCAAGACTCACTGAGATAAACCTTCTCCCTTTCCTGAGATCGAGAACATTCTTCAAATTGTTTTCACTTTTGGTTGCTCTATTATTTCCACATCTAGTTTGCCCTCCGTCTTGTGTGGCCTTGCAGCTGCTGTGACAGAAAACACCTCCACAGGGGACATCAGAGATGCTGGTGAACTCCCAGCAGGCTGTTGTTTGGGTTTTAGTGAGGAATGGCTTCTGTGGAGCCGCTGCAGCCATAATGGTATATTTGCTAGAGTGCTGCTGAAGATTGTCTTTCCCTAAGCTTCCCTTATCTCCATAAACACGGTCTAGATCTTTTTTTCTCAGTGATTATAGGCTTGTCGAGGGGTACCTGTGTCATCAAGTCTGCTTTTATTCAGTTTGACAGGCAGAAGATGAGAATTAGGTGTTTTTTTGAGTGGTAGAAGAAGTTTTCTAAAAATTTTGTTTCGTGAAAAAGGAGGTTTTGTGGATTTTGGCACCTCAAATTTTCAAAATATTGTCTCATGTCTCTGGTCAATCATCCTTATTAAGACTCCCTTTTTTAGCTCAGGGGTGAGCAATCCTGGTCCTCGAGGGCCGCAGCCCTGCATGTTTTACTTTTTTCTCTGCTCAAACACACCTGATTTGAATGAATGGATGATTATCAGGCTTCTGCAGTACGGAGGACCGAAACTGACATAATTTAAAAAAGCAGAAATATATAAGTTGACTAACAAATGAATATACTTAAAGTGCACCAATAAAGTTCAAAAAGGAGAATTTTATTTAAAGTATATTTATAGACAGACAGCAAAATAAATAAATACAATTAGAAATGGGCCATTTAAATTAAAAAGAAGAGCTTTACCTCACGTTTTGTAATTTAATTGACCTTCAGATTTATTTTTCCAACTTAGTTCCAAAAAATAATATATTTTTGCAAAAAAAGTAAAATGTAAATTATGTGCCTATCTATCTATCTATCTATCTATCTATCTATCTATCTATCTATCT